CACTTGAGCATCCAGCTGGAACTCCGGCCTCATCGCCATTCGTGTATCTATCCAATTGTTCTGCCGACACTATAGCATCGTACTTGCGAAGCTCTGAAGATAAAGTTGTGCTAATTATAAAATGTTAAAGATACACCCATCAATATTATTTAAAGTCTATACCAACTTTTAATACTGACTTTTTTGGTCAAATAATACCTGAAGCTATTAGGTTGATCGTCGTCGTTTGATACAATCCGATTTTGAATATGCCTCTTTTCGCGCCTTTGGCATACAGTATATGGGGTATTTTGAGGCTTTACAAGGACTCTTGAGTCAATATGATGAAATCCTTGGAGAGTAAATCGACCCGCTGAGTCCGAATCAGGGATCAGATTTGATCATTGATTTTTGAACTTTTTCCTTTAAATCCTGGAAAAATCCAAATTTTAAAAGGAAAAGTTCAAAGATCAAAGTTCAAATCTGATCCCGGATTCGGACTCAGCGGAGTCGATTTACTATCCAAGGGTTTCATCATATTGACTCAAGAGTCCTTGTAAAGCCTCAAAATACCTCATATACTGTATGCCAAAGGCGCGAAAAGAGGCATATTCAAAATCGGATTGTATCAAACGACGACGATCAACCTAATACATTAAAATTACCTTTGTTGGGTTAATTTTTTCAACTATAGTTCAATTAATTTTTCCCCATAAAATATTCTTGATTGTACTTACGTGCAGAATTTGGCCGGCTGGCTGCGGCTACCACCTGCGAGTCCATGCTGTGGCTCTTTCTGTGCGCAATGGCTCCCTGAGGCAATTGCTGCTGTTGTGAGTTACCGCAGTTCATCATCGTATTTGTGATGTAGGGATGGCCCATGTGAGAATTTGTGTAAGGTGGAGGCGCGGGCGGCACACTCCGGAATGCGGTCATGCTGTCTTTTCGGACGCATCCATGCAGGTGGCGTTCTGAGTCCAAAGTTGAGTAACCGTCTAAATTGAAATAGTTTGGTAATAATAAGTTTATGAAATTCCTTAAAATGTAACAAACTTTGGTTAATAATTATTCTTAACATAGCAAATGCAATTCGTGATCGGCACTTTTTAGGTTCAGAGCTACGTTTCTTAGCTCCTAATCTTCTTGATACAACATCTCTGTGCTTCCGAAGAACTATTTATTTTTTAAAGTATCTGACATTGTGTTAGTAAATGTATTCTTTTGTCGTAAATGTGTAAAATCGTTCAACAAAACATTCTATTTTCTTTAAATAAATATTCAAGTAATGAAAATGAATGTGCGTGAATGTTTATTTTTACGAATGTTATTGACATTTTACGCTGCAATTTATGCCTAAAACACGTCCGAGATATTTAGATTTTTAATCGCACCATATTCCTTTTGGGACTAGATTTCCATTTCTTTATGTATACCCTAAGCAAATTTTTCACAAATTCTAAAATATTTTCATCAAAAATGCAATAATTAAAGATTCACCGTAATTTTCTCAATAGAAGACTTACCGAATTCCCCATTACCGGTAGCCGATCGCTGCAAACATCGGTACTCGTCTTGAGCCATAGCCATCATTTCCAGCCATCTTCGGGTCTCTTCAACGCCAGTCGTAAACAACATCAAGAGATGAGAGGCAGTTTCAAACTCATTCATGCAAATTAAGTAGAAACCATCTGAAATGAATAAAATTTAACGTGAATCGATATTTTTTGTGAATAATAGGCACGAATTTTCATGCATATTTAATTTTTCTAAACACTCGGGTAAAGTGCTTCAAAATTCCTTTTCCACTTCTCAATGAGTTAAGCACTCAAAATTCTTCCCTAAGATTTATTACAGCAATGTGACTTACTCCCTTCACTGAAAGGATGAAAGATGAGATTTGAAATGTGCATTGGAGGTTTGATAACCCGGAGCCGATCAGCACGTTTGGAAGCCATTTTACAAATTAGCAACATATCTGTGAAGATTATGCAGTGAACGTCCATCTAAAAATAAATAAACCAAAAATAAGTTCAATAAACAAATTGATAAACTACCGTAAATCCTCTAATAAGTCCCCCGGGGGACTTATTGTTTCGTAAGGGTTTTCAAAAAAATTTTCAAATTTCAAAGTCAATTTTCTCCGATATTTTCAATGACAAAGTTTTGCCATTAGGGTTTTTCTTACGTAACTCGACGAGATCTACACGAATATGCACTTAATTTTGGTCGGGCGAACCCGCAAGTACGTTTGGCATTCTGTTTGAGGGGGGACTTATTTGAGGGGAGGGACTTAATTGAGGGGAGGGACTTATTAGAGGATTTACGGTAATACATGAAAAAATTTTCATCGCTTCTCAAAACATCATTATTTTCAATATTTTTGTCAAAGCTATTTTCGTTGAAAATCAATATTTCATCTTATGGCGCCTCCGTAATTTTGCGAATCCGAGCAATATAACAAATTACCCGAAAAATCATTTACAGACTTTTTTGAATTGTTGACTAACAAAATATGGTCAAAGCAAAAAAAATTTCGAATTGAACGGGTGAAGATAGAATATTCGGTGGAAATGCTCACATAGTATATTTAGCGGTAAATTGGTAAAGTTCTACGCAGAATATCACAGACTTTACCCGAAAAATTTGGCCTTACAATTATTAACCCCTTTTCACGTTTCGCCCAAATTTAAACGGTAAGTCAAATCGTTATACAAACTTTCAATGCGGTTCCTGTAAAAAAAATTTACCTTTGCTCCTTGCCGACTTTCTCTCATCTTCAAATCTCCTTTTGTGTACATTCTTCGGTACTTTGCTGCACCGCCAAGGAAAGGCATTGGGTTGAGAAGGTTGAGGTGAGGCATTGATCGCATTTGGAACAACTGAAATAATCATGAAGACGTGCAATGGAAATATAGGATAAATGCTACCTTTTCAAACTCCTCATTATCGATTGCCTCGTAGCTTTCGATGGTTTTCATAATTTCGGAGAGTTGGATTCGGAGGTCGTTGTTGTTCAATTCGTAATTCAATCGCAATGTGGCAGCCTCGGCGTTGTCAATCATTGTCTGGAAATTGAGAAAATTTGTTCTCATTTCTTATTTCTCTTTTTAGCTCATATTTTTCTCGATTTTCATATTCAGACGCCTCTTTAGAAAGAAAAACAACGAAAAAATCGAGATGTCAAACGTAAATATTGAGACAAAATCAATTACAAACTAAAAAATTTCTACCAAAAAGAAAATATCGTTTATACTTATATTTTTACACTTACTCTATTTATACTCATTTTTACAATTACTGCTGAAATGGAAATTCATTTCCCCAGTGCGGAATATGCACCAATGCTTTTAGCTGTTCGCGAAAAGACCCGTCCCTATGTTCTCTGACTGATTCACAAACCTATTTCTCTACTTTAAAGTGAATATTGTTTCCCTATACATGCTTTTGCAAAATCGTTTACATATACATTGATTCTACCACTACTGATCCTACGACTACGAACGCATTAACATGTAATGAGAAATGATGCGTGCTGTCTAATGTTTTTAATAAGTAATTCGTCCAAAACCTTATTCTTGATAAATATCCGATCAAAGGTTTTCTAACAATATTCATACGATTTGAAGCAGAAATTTTGGATGTTTGGAAATATTGCTTAACATTCGGCATTGATTAGAGATAATTTTTCCTATTTCTTTAGTATTTCCGACTCACCTGGATAACGACTTTCTCCTCCGCATCAGACGATGCCTTGAGAACTGCTTTCAAAAGGAGCGAATATCGAGTCAGTCTTTGCATTGGAGTAGAAAGGGCATCGAGAAGCTTCTGCCTGTGCATCATCGAGTGAGATTCGGCCCACTAAAAATAGTTTGATTAGGTGTGATATTGGACAAAAATGCAAAAAGTGAAATATTTTTGAAAATACGTACTTTGAAAAATAGATTCATATTCACATGTTAACTTTTCAGCAAATAACAATTAAATTTCGCAACTTACTCTTATGAATTCAGCAAACATCTCGTTGTCCTTTTGTTTCTTCTGAACATACGAATGACTATCGGAATGGCCCATATTGAATTCGATATAACATCGGGACCATTCAACTATGCTCTCGAATCCGGACAACATGAGGCGAGGGTTCAGCGGTTCACTTTTTTCTCTGAAAATACTTTTCATAATTTGTCCACGGGCTAATGAATTGCCAATTGTCCTCGGGTGAGTTGACCTGGGTGCGAATTGGGCTAGTACATTTTAAATTCTTTCAAGCATATGTTACCTGGCGGCGTTGAGCATTGGAAGAATTGCGCGATTCCAAAACGCCAAGTTGCATCTCAGCAATTCACTGTAGTTGAGAAAAACTCTTCGGCTGTTAATGTCGCGCAGATAGCCTTGTTTCTGAACTTCGGCGAAGCTGAACGTCAAGTCTTCCATGTTTTGTAAGAGCTGGAAGAATGACACATTTAACTGGAAGCTTTGCTAAAGTCCAAACTTACGTTTATATACCGTTTCTCGGTGGTAACAATCTCCCAAATGGCTTCTTGTTGATCGCTGGCTCTTTTGTTTAGCATCTAAATTCAAGTTTTTAGTTTTGGTCACGGATTAAATATTATTAGAATTTAGATTTTTCACTAAATTAATTAGCAAAAATTCCCTAGTTAAAAAAATCTCGCCACCCCCTAATAGACCCAGGGTGAAACGATGACTTTACAAAGCAAGGTTCATAAAAACAATTCAATCATTCTCTAATTATTAAATAGGATGTCTTCGCATTTAAAATACGGCGAAATGGTCACAAATTTCGCGATACATTTCCCAAATGGTCACAATCACGCCAGCAGCCTCAAAAGGTTAATTGAGGTTAAACTGGTTATTATAACCTATACTATAAAGTAATACCAATGAGTCCACGCCACGTTATCCTTAAAATCCAGGATTTCGCTTCGTTTTGGCGTCAAATTACCATTTTCTATCAGGAAGAAGGGAAAATAAAGAATAAAGTAAACCCCAGAGCTCTGACACGAGCCGTAGTAGCTCAGTTGGTTAGAGCGTCGGTCTAATAAGCCGAAGGCCGCAGGATCGTGACCTGCCGGTGGCAAATCATTTTTTTGGTTCTTTTTCCCAATTCAAAACTCTTTTAGGGATTTCAATGTCGCTTTTTCAGAAATTTTATTTAAAACCTTTCAAGTAAAAAATTTTGTCATGTAAAATCAAACGAGATCTTTCTAATGACACCTCACTCGCCCAGATCCTAACGGCGTAAGGTGACAAACGGCCGGAGAGGAACACATGGTGCATATGTACAGCAGCGGTTCAGGTAGTCGAAAAGCGTTACAGAATTTTGCGGGGTTTTAAGGACGTTTTCATGCTGTTTTGATATTCCCATTCCAAAAATTTATTATTGCTTACCTTATGGCATCTGACCAAATCACTCCAATGAGACTCAATTTCCAGCACAGAGAGATCACAGAGCCGATTCGATACAACTTGTACAAAAATTTTGTCCAATACCGAGCCAATTTTCTCCTAAATTCAAAAAATAATTTTAACTGTTTTCTAGCCAAATTCCAAAAATTTGGACGACGTTTCCAAATGCCAACTCACCTTTGCTGCGAAAATGCCTCTTCTGGTAACGGTTCCGCCAGCATTTGACGCTGAAGAACCACGTGGCCCACGTTTAGTTCCATAATCTTCGCTCCCATTTTGACTTGGCAAAGTGCCAAACGACTGAGTTATTGGAATTGCACCTTCATTCAGAGGCGCGGAGGTTGGAGCAGTGGCTCCAGGAATGTAACATCCGCCGAGATATTGCTGATGAGCTGCGTCGTTGGCTTCACTGTCGAATGAACCTGCAAAAGAAATAATTTAGACCCAGAGTGTTGATCACGATTTCTAAGGAATTTTTGCATGGATACAAAAGGATACCAAAGGGTTAATGGATATCAAAAGGTTAATTGAGGTTAAACTGGTTATTATAACCTATACTATTAAAGTAATACCAACGAGTCCACGCCCCGTTATCCTTAAAATCCAGGATTTCGCTTCGTTTTGGCATCAAATTCCCATTTTATATCAGGAAGAAGGGAAAAATAAAGAATAAAGTAAACCCCAGTCTCCTATCTGACATGAGCCGTCGTAGCTCAGTTGGTTAGAGCGTCGGTCTAATAAGCCGAAGGCCGCAGGATCGTGACCTGCCGGTGGCAAATCATTTTTTGGTTCTTTTCCCAATTCAACTCTTTTAGGGATACCAATGTCGCTTTTTCAGAAATTTTATTTAAAATTTTACGTCCCATGCTTTTTGGAAATATTGCAGCGCTTAGAGGAATATCGGCCAACTTATTAGTTTAATTTTTATTTTTACAAGTTTCTAAACCTTATTTCAAACCGAAAGCACCTTAAAATAGTTAAAATTTCGAATGTATACCTGTATGATGATGAAATAGCCCATGTAAGGAAGGTGGGCAAAAATCGGAAGGCGCATTGAGAGAATTCTTTCGACTGTTGCTGATTAGATTTGGCGGGATCATAGCCGGATCTCCCACCATTCCCGGATGATGGTTCCGCATGCTACCTGGCGGGTTCGGTGGCGGATATGCTGGATGTTCGGTGGGAATTGAGCTGATGCTTCCATTTATAGACGAAGAGCACTGCATTGAAGTGTCGCAACTGGAATGACAAAACGGGAAAATTTGAGAACTGCTGGAGGTTGGAGGACATGTGGATAGGCTTCGAGGCTTGCCCATCTGTAAAAAATTATTGAGTTAGGAAACATTCCGTATAACTTTCTCAGAAAAATATCTGAGTGGCAGAGAAAAATGCCAATATAAATTAAAGTATGCAAAAAATAAGCTTTTGCCACGTTTTTCACCAGGAAAATTACTTTTTTGGTCATTACAAAACATCCTCAAGTTCTATGGAAAAGCAAAAAACACACCCACACCATTCACTTGAAGTACATGAATTGGCGGACTACTACTACTCTTATTCTTAACTTTTACGGTATAATCCTTGTTGAAGACACGCATAAGAGGATGATAATTATGAATCATTTTGTCTGATATTGTACAGTGAAGGCAGAAAGCTATACGCTATGGAGAAATAGTCATCAATTATAAGCTTTCCTTTCGTAATAAAAATAATCTTTAAACCAACTTATTTTCATGAAGTGATTTTCGCCAAATGAATTTCAGCTTAACTTTAACTCTCCATTTTCACAACGAAAAGTTTTGCTAAAAGGCATTTTTCATTGCAAAAGAAAAGTTTTGAATTATGACTACGAACAGCTTTCAGAGAAGCTAGACACTATATAACTTTCTGCTTCCCCTGCACAATAGCGATTCATAATTCATTCGTTCTTATCTGTGATTTCAACAAGGATAATTGTATCATTAAGTCAAAACGGACAAAAACCGTCCGTGAAGTAACAGGTGTGTGTACTTTCATTCAAAAATTTGGAAATTTCAGAGTTTCATACAAAAATTTAGTTCCCACTCAGATTTAGATCACTAACAAGTCTACAGATATAGAAAGGTAACAACAATGCCTCCAGGGAATTTCTCCTACTCGACATTCACCCCTTGGTAATGATCTCACTAGTGCGCGAATGGGGAATAACCTAGAGCCATTTGGAATTCCTTTTAAAAATAAACAGGAAGTAATTCCCACCATCTTCTTATTCGAGAATGACGGTTTCCTGGATATAAGATTGGCGAGAGTTGAGCTGTGTTGCGGATCTGACTCCTGCGTCTGTTGTTTGGAGTGACGCCCACTGCTTTCCACACAATTTGGAATCACTTCCGAATTGTGGTGCACAGAAGACGCCATTGAATTGGAGCAGGATCCGTTGTTTGTGGAGTTCCCACCGAGCAGGTTGGCCAAGTGACTTCCACGCCTACGCGAGAACGTGCCGCCCGGTTTCACTAAAAACGAGACAGTTATATTCCTGAATACGAAAAATCACGTTATGCAAACATTTTCGCGCCTGTCACCAAAAAATCTTCATTGAAGCAAAGGTGTAATAAAAAAGAAAATAAAAAAATACATTATTGTTCGGGAACTGTCTCGCATTTGGGCATACTCAAAAAGGAAATTTTGGCTATATTTTTCGTGCAAATGCACTTTCTAAAATCTGGATTACGGAAAGTACATTTTCACAAAGAAAATGTGATCACAGACAGAGCAAAGAACGAAACTATTGTGTAGATATCGTATTTTATAAAAATTTGCTCTTTGCCGTGCAGGAAATGGCATTTAAATCATTATTAACGTTTTGCGCAATGAAACTTACATCGAACAAAGACTTTGTGTCCTGCGAGAAATTTAGCATCACTGTTTCCTGGAACTGGCGTTGCAGACTTCTCTAGAAGAAATTCAGCACACTGCGTAGGTATTCCGTGGAAATGTAGAAAAGGCTCCAAACATTCGGATAGCTTCTTTCCCGGTATCGCTTCCATCTGAAACGAATAGGATTATATGAAAAACAACTTTAATTTAAGTCACGCTGTTGTAAAATATATCAATAAATAAACAGTATCTAGTAATGAAAAAAATTAATTAAGGATTTCGATCTTTAGAGTACAATTGCGGCAAATTTTTTGCGAAAACATAAAACTATCAATTCTTTAGCTGAATGTCTTAGCCATTCCTTAATCATTCCTTTCTTTCAATGAGTATATAATTTTCAATATATATTCATCTTATATAAAAACATTACCTAAACACACTGATTCACTGGCAAGGATAGTCGAGTAACGAAAACTATATGGAGATGTGATGTAAAATTTTATCAAAATGCAACTACACATTTTTTATTGAAATTGATTTGCGAAATTTCTTTATTAAAATTTTGAGACGAAAGTTCTACCGTTATATTTTAACGACTTTGTATTTTACTTATCTCATAACCCAACACCTATGTAAATAAACCACCAATTTGTTTAATTTAATTTGTTTCATGGGTTGAGTAAGCCAATAGATGGTCACTTACCAACTGAGCAGTATTAGATGATCCACTTGCACTGTTAGTTCCGACTTCGGCATTGAGCATCAATAAATCCACGGTTATAAATTCCACGGAATGCAGAGCTGGTGCTGAGACTGTTGATCGGTGCTCCGTGCGCATCCTGGCAGAATTGTTGACTTATACCCAAGTCGAGTTCTGAAGTGAAGGTAAATTAATAACTGGAAGTTTACGCGACATAATTACACGTAAGCAAGAATTACAGGTAAAGTGTACCTGTACGTAAAATGGGATATAACTATAATGGGTAATCATAAATTTAGAGATTACAATAAAATTTGCATAAAATAAAGGGTGTTCAGGACTTCAATAACTTTAAAGCTGGTAAAATGCTTCCAAATTTTCTCGAGGTGAATAGGTTTATTTTCGGAACAAAATAGAGCACCTCAGCTTTTTAGCAAATGGGCTGTGTTAAAATTCAGAAAGTTTCGTCATCCGGCGGAAATAATTAAAGATTTTAAATTTTTGCAAAAAAGTTCGTGTTAAATTGGGAATAGGGTTTGGTCGGGTCAAAGTACACAAGAAGTGCAGGATATGAAGCGTAAACAGAATCGAATTAGCAAAACAATGCTTGTGCATAGACAACCAAAAATTGATTATTTATAGACCAGAATTTTACATAGGAGGAAAGTAAATTTTGAGGCAGGTAAAAGTGCTTCCAAATTTTCGTCTCGAGACGAATAGGTTTGTTTTCAATTAAAACTATCATTTCTCGATATGGGAGCGTAAAAGAGAAAAAGATTGTGAAACGCGAATGGAAGCGAACGCGAGCGTTAAACCACACAGAGCAAGATTCGTGCCAAGACATTTAGTTTTAAATTTACGCTTTGAAATAAAATTGTAATCAAATCTCAAAATTTCTATCAAAATAACACTTTTAGAAACTGATTCTTAATACAAAATTCCAGTTCCGCAATGTTACATTAGGAATTATTCTGCACTAACTGCAAATTATCTCGCTAATTATGATGATAACGGTAAGCACTAATGTAGGACACCAACAATTTGACTCTCACGATAATTTCTCAACCGACTTCCATGTTTGTCACCAAATTAACTAAAAACGCTCTGGACTTTGT